TTGGAAATTTGGACCTATTGTAAGGTGGAATATGAGTTTCTCTTTTTTTCTCTCGCACTTCTTTATCCACAAAAAATTCGATGCTAATACTACGAAATTGGAGCTCGGTGTTATTTTCTCGGAAAGTCTCTCATTGGTACAATAATATATCAATGACATTTGATCGGAAATATCAATCAATTAACTTGCTCCATTACAAACAAAACCGATGTTCAAAGAAGATAGAAAAAGTGGGCGAAAGATGATTGCGACTTGTGAACACAGACCTTCTGTGTCCAGGATGTCGACACACGGCACGTAGGAGCTCGGTGTTATTTTCTCGGAAAGTCTCTCATTGGTACAATAATATATCAATGACATTTGATCGAAAATATCAATCAATTAACTTGCTCCATTCACAAACGAAACCGATGTTCGAAGAAGAAGAAAGCACCAGTACCGTTTCTATCCCCGGTGGGCGAAAGATGATTGCGACTTGTGAACACAGACCTTCCATGTCCAGGATGTCGACACACGGCACGTAATAATTTTGTGTAGAAAGATCGTTTTGAAGTCGTTTCGATAAGGATCAACCCTCTCTTGCACAAAACAAATAAACAGAACAGAAACACAATTCGAAAAAATATTCATCATGAAATTTCCATATGCTGCGATTGCTGCATTATCCGCTGCGTGTAGACTTTGGTCTGTCCAAGCTAGCGCTCTTCCATTGAACGATAATCCATTGCGTCCAATCGGTTGCTTTGAGCTTTTGCCAGTTGGAAGTGGAGAAAAGCCTTTTCTAAAACTGGACGATCTCGAATCCTTCAGTGGAAAATTTATTATCGAAGCACCAAATGACAAGTCAGTCTTTTTTGATCTGTATACGGTTACTGCTGATGATCAACCATGTGTCGCAGGAGAGAGCGTAGATGGTATCGAGTTGACAACAGCATCAGTAGAAGATGAGGGATATGCCGAATTGCGGCAAACTTCCGGCGGACACTTAGGTGCGTTTTTATTGTTGTTGCCTTTAACTGTTTCTTTTGTAACTCTTGCTTCAACGTCTTACACTCATAGTTTTATCCTATTTGCATCATATAATGAGATACAGTGGCCCTTAAGTTCAGTATCCCTGATTTTCGCAATTCCAAAATCTATTCACAAACTGATGATGGGAGGGGTGTGGCCAAAGCCTGTAAGTACCATTGATCTTGTGTCGATAGGATGTTTCTATCGATGTATTTTCTCACGATTCTTACTTGTGTGTGTGTTGTGCACAACACTGGTAGGTATCCAAGCTGCATTGATGTGGGGCATTGATTCAGACCAAGAAGAGCTTGTCTCCTATCTGGACGCACAATTGACAGTTAAAATTGATGATTCAGGAAGCTTTTCCTACGGCGAATTTGATCAACAGGTCCAACTTCTTTCATCACCAAAATTGATGCAGACTGAAAGACTTCAAAATACCATTGCCATAGAGTCTTTCTTGTGTGGCACCAAAGACATCAATGGGGGGGAACCTTTATTTGAGAAGTATAAGATTGGTCAGGACTTCCAGATCTGTATCCGTCCAACAACCAAAAATACAGACTTCAGTGTCGTGGGTTTCACGGATATTTCCTGCGGCTTTGGAGCCGATGGCACTGGAGGCAAAAAGCTAGTAGATGATGCTGGAAAAACAACTAGTGATTTGACCATTATCACGTTGGATGTTGAAGAAAGCATGGATATGGAGGGGAATGCAATGGGAGGCAGTGCGGCCACATTTAAGAGTGTAGTCACCCCGTCATATTTTAGCAATGCGGCAGACTCTTTTCAATGCAAAGGTGAAGCAGTTTTACAGCATGGGGATACCCCAATAGTAGGTGAATTTGGAACAATGTGCGAGTACCGAGTACGAAATACTTTTCAACTATTGGAGGGAGAGAAATTCCCGATGTTTTTTTGTATGAAAGGTGGGGTTGGGGTGGGAAATGCAGATTTTGAGTATTCCAACGGTGCTCTTAATTCTTTAGCAGCACGGTCTTCAGACAATCCAGTCGCCCCATATTATTATAATGGAGACAATGTACAATTGTACGACCCAAGCGTGTCACAAAAATGTATGGGGGAAGGATTACTTTTCACATGGAGAAAATTTGTGAGTTGTCCATGCATAATTGTGTTAGCACAAATTTATAGATGTTTCTGTACTCACTTCGCACTGTCACCACTGACCTACAACCTCAATCTTGGACGAATCTTGGACAAAGGTTGAGTACAGCGTTAGAGAAGGGACTGATGAACCATTCATGTTTTTCTTTCATTCGGCAACAAAATTCCCTTTGACTATTTGTGCTTACCCTAAAATGAGATCAGCAGTACAAGAACAGGAGAAAGAAATATATGCTGCTATACCTTTTGAGCAGGATGGCTTTAGTACAACAGTGGATGCGGAGGGCAATCCAATTCTATTTGCTGAAGAACACATGGAGTTGTGCAAGACTTTTGATGAGGCTTCTCAGTGTACCCGTACATACGACCCTTTGAACCCTCCTGTTAGTGCCCACACCTGCGATTATGAAGTAGATAGTCTTTTTCAATTGGATGATGCAGACAACAAGATGTTCCAGATGGCCTTTTGTGTCAGTGGTGTTGACTCTAACCCCTATATGTATACCACGACAATCAGAGATGATGTCGTGCATACTAATGGTTTCCCGGGTGCAGGAAGTATGTATTCGGGATCAACAAATGTTCGTTATGCACAAGATCCAAGTAATGGAGTTGATGAATGGATTCGTTTCGACCCCAACGCGGAACAAAAATGTATGGGAAAAGGATACCTTTTCATTAATCAGAACAACTGGGGCGTAAGTTGTCTAGGCATTTGTGGCGTTTGCACAAATTCATAAACATATCTGTACCGGTACTCACTTTGCCAACTATGTCATCGCTGACAAATCATTTTGACCAAGCATATTTTCGACCCACAATTTCCAGAACCATTCAAGTATAACATTCGAGCGGAAACAAGTTTCGAAGAACCTTTGACTATTTGTGCTTACCCTTTGCTGCAGTCAGAAACACCGTCAGACCACCTTGATGCTGTCAGTCAACTTATGGAAGCTGGCTTTGATTGGACGGGAAATACCTTTCCTGGAGTAGATCATACTTTTGAAGATAGAGGTAAAACATAGGAGGAGTTGTGCAAGACTGTTTTAACATCTGATGAATGTGCCTTATTTCAAGAACCTCTTGAGGATAACATTTTACTCCGTGGACTCCAGGAAGGTTCTCCCGAAGAGCCCGGCCGCAGCTCCTTTGCCACCACTGTCAGTCTTGATGTGGAACGTTTTGATTTCAATGTGGATGGCATTGGCAGCCTCAGCGCGCCCGCATACAATGTCGATTTCACCAAAGAGCGTCGTGTTGTTTCGGTTGCTGCCATGGTGGCCATTGCACTGGCTGCTATTTAATGGAATCTTGCACTGGACAGGAGGACATAAGTTTCATTTACTTAAAAGGAGTTCATATTTGTTAAGGAGTTACACGAAGTGGAAGTGAGAAAATAATAATAAGCATTGCTCGAAATCAATGGTACAATACTGGAACAAGATTCAGTGCATTGATTTCGTATCATGTAAGAAGTAATACCATTGTAAAAGTTATTCCAACTATTTATTTTCCATCATTTTATCATGAAACGATGGCTTCACCTAGTCAATAGCTAGAACACTGCTTTTGAAAACTGTTTTATTGCTTGCCAACATGAGTTTTGATTTCGAACACCGAATTTCTCTGATGAGTGTCTTTTTTTTCCTCGGATGACCCCAAACATTAATTGTGAAGATTTTCGTTGCAATTAGAGAAATAATTCCAATTTCCAATACTGCATTCTGCAAAATTTGCATACTGGCTTGCAAACATGAATCACGTGTGATGCATTCCGCGTTCTAGTATTGGTCACATTCGTATTGCATCCTACCTAGCCTACCTCTATCGTGCAAACGATTGGGGACGACGCGCCCTCCGCTACTAATACTTGGAGACCTTCGTTAAGAGGGGATTCCTGTCTCGGAAGTAATAAAGCTTGGCTCTTTTGACCTTTTTTCCTTTGAAAATAAAGTTTCGTTCCAAAACTTTCGCCTCTTTGATCATGGGCGAAAACATAGGAATTCGTCTCTCAATCGGCAACCCATAAACCACATCCCTCAAGATCAGTGACGACCCGAGTCCACGATTTACAATTCCCAAAACGACTCCTCGAATTTTCTCCAACTCTTGCTTCTCGACTTCTTTGAGGCCACCCTGGGACACCATCTTCAGTTCGACAGAATCTCCGACGCATATAGTCTCGTGCCATATCGTGGGATTTGCCTTTTTCCCCTTTTCGCATGCTTCGTCATTCAAATCCCCGAACAGTTTTGATGCTCGTTTACGTGGAGATTTGAATTTCTTGTAATCGCGGTACCTAGGTCTGCGTCCATGATGAACGAATGGAATTACGTCGACCTCGGGAACAGGGGTTGACGCAAAACACCTTGATGCTGGAGCCAGAGATAAAGTCGACGAAGAAAATACCGACCGACTTGCCAGGCTCGCAAATCTTTGCATCATCTTATTCGATTATTGGTTCACAGATCCTCTTTACTTTGCGCACTTGCTGAAAAATGAGTGCGAATGTCCTAATCGATAGAGTACAGTAGTGCATTAATGAGAACAGATGACGGTCTGAAAAGGGATGGTCCATACACCCGTTATGACATAGGTACGAGTACCGTACCGTACGGTTCGTACGACTTCTTACAGTTGTAGTAATCAGTCAGATGTCATGTCAGATGTTGGAAAAGAGCGGGTCCGGGGCCGGTGGCTAGTACCGGTACTCGTACTCGTACAGAAGGGTTCCGGTACGTACGGTACGTACCTGTACTGCTGCTGGTACTCGCACGTGCTCTGTACTGGTACGATAATGCTGTACTTCCAGGAAACTCATTTCAATTTCAATTTCAATTACATTAACGTCAAGTCGAACTGATTGAGGGATCTCGAGCTCGGTGTTTCCACAAATTCCTGCCGAAAAATGGTGCAATCATTGAATGCGAAGGCATTGGCAACCTTGGCGTACGTGCTGAGACATCCAACGTTAATTGTTCCGCACGTATCGGTGGCAAATGTATCTGAACTCAATTACAGAGCCATGAAGGAATGCGCAGGTATTCGTGCGATTTTGTTTGACAAGGACAATACTTTGACCGCTCCCTACGACATGACTGTGCATCGGGATGCAGCGAAGGGACTGAAAAGGGCGAAAGAAATATTTGGAGCAGAAAACGTAGCAATTATGAGCAACAGCGCTGGAACAAAGGACGACCCAGGCTACGAGGACGCCAAAATGATCGAAGAAGCATTGGGGATCGCTGTGATTCGGCACGACGAGAAAAAGCCAGGAGGACTGGACGAGGTCCTAAAACATTTTGATGTAGACGATCCCGCCACCTTGTGCATGGTCGGAGATAGACTATTGACGGATGTTGTTTTCGGTAATCTTCATTCCATGCTCACTATTCACACTTTGCCTTTGTGCAAAGGAGCGGAAAACCGGCAAGACAACACCCCTTCCAAGATTATTCGATACATTGAAAACAAAGGACTCTATGGAAATTGGTTCGGAAGCCGGATGTTGTACAGAAATCACGATTCGAAACACAAGTACTGGTCTGGGGAAAAAGAACATTCGTTAAAAATATCGATTGAAGAATCTGCTGGCGACGGCACAGCACAATTTTAGGCACAAATATTGAGGGATCACAAGACTTGAACTAGTAGCTTCTGTATGGTTTTGCGTGGCTTTTTCTTCATTTTTCGTCTGAACATAAAGCACTATCTGCCAAACTAATGAGTTAACTCAGGGTTCGCTTGAATGAATCAGTCGTTGTTCAGCTATGAAGAGAAACTTTTTCCGACTATACTTTTATCGAGATTGGCATTCGCAAACACCACGCGATTATTCCGTCTATATGCATACAACACATAAAATTCCTTTCTACCCACAAGAATAGTAATGTTCTTCCTTCCTTCACTTTTTGTCATGGCGGTATCAGGGGAGGAGAAAACTTGCGTTGTCGATTTGGTTTTGTTTGCGGCATCACATCGTCCTTGATCCAAGATCGAATGAGACCATGTGAAACGCTTAGTGACAAAGAGCTTAATCTCTTTGCACTTGCCTTTTCCTTTTCGTAATTTAAGAGTGCTTGATTTATTGAATACACCCACTCGTCTCTTTCGACCTCTCCAGAGCAGCTGAAAATACGTGTAATCTGGAGTGAGCTTTCTGGGTTTACAGATTTCTTGACATGATATATTTTGAACCGAAACGGACGTTTGCTGTTCCTCTTGTCATCACCAAGATTGTTGTCTGGAAGGATAACTGCAGAATCTAATGATATTACAGTGGATGGAGAGGGCGAGTGATAATCCCAGAAGATTTGTAGGAGTGGAACATCCACTTCGTGCCCATCTGTCCTAGCTTTCTGAAAATAGTATAGTAGTTTCGTTCGATGGACAGTCAAAATTATGTCAATGTGCTATTGCTTCCACAAAGTCTATATACGGGTCACAACATAGTTTTCTTACCACAAGAACAGCCCACCGTGGTTTCCAAGCTTTCGATCCTATCCAGTCGAACCCCGAGCCTTTCTTGTCGAGATATCCGTGGAAAACGACACTCTTGATTCTATATGCAGTGCCCAATGCAAGGACCCCAGGAAACATACGGTCGATATTGTCCAGATCCTCGGTATCATCGTCATTGCTGTCTTCCGACTGCACTTGAAAGAGGCTTCCATAATGCTGATAGTGAGTCGAAGATTTCTTAAAAACAACTACACGGTTTGGATCAATGCAGTGTTTTCGGCTACAACATGGACAAACACCGTCATGACTCGCATTAGAAAATTTATTGTTGCCGATAGCCGAAACGTCCATGTTGAAGGGTGGATTTTCTCCACGACTTGTCAGGGATTCCGATGTATCGCGAAGAATACTTTCGCTCTCCCTGCATGTACCGATGGTGAAGGTCATTCTATCCTTTGCGGTGCTAGAGATACAGGGCATGACCATTACTACTCCCACATTATCTTGAGTTTTGCGGTTGATGGTGTGGCAGTGCGGTACAGTGACTGATCCGTCCGGGTAAGTGCGAATTTAAGTTCCAAATATACAGAGTACTACTACCTACCAGATCTAGCATTCTCAATCGATTTGAATCTGCCTTTTTTCGTGCTTCGGATTTTAAGTACGAACCCGTTGTAGCTTTGTTCTCAATTATCAAGTTGAAAGAGCATCGCGGGACTAAAGTTTCATTTTATAAAGTAACAGACCTGAAAAACATACTACTATTCAAAACATATTGTAGCTGACATAACAAATTGAAATTCTTACACGAGGTAACAGATTTTCGCGTACCCTTCTTGTTCTGATTATCAATCCCCGTTGAAAGCAAGGGACCCCATTCCTGGTCGGTCAATCGAAATAGCGCTAACGTCACATCAAAGTTCTAACATCTTTCAGCTCTTTCGGTTAGAACATACAATACCGTATCGAGCAACGGAAATGTACACTAATCGTTGTGTTTCGATTTGACATGGGCACGTTCTATCGAAATAAGCTCCTGTAACCTGCGAAAGATCGGATAGCCGACCAAGAAAATCATGACTCCCCACAGACTTGCTGGTACCATCCCAAGCTCTAGCAGTTTCACAGCGTTGTGGACACCTACAGTAGCCTCAATTCCATGTGCAACAACCGAAAACCAAAAGGCACCGCAAATTGAATATGAAAATGTCCTTGGAGATCCAAATATAGCAGTTAAAGTTCTCTCTATGCGCGGGTGCTGAACAAATGCATTCGTCATGTCCTCTACACCGACATAAGTACCATATGCTAAGAACCCACAGATCACCAAAATAAAAAGTGCAAGGGGATCCGTAACCAGCCAGATTGGGTTTGGGGCACAAACTCGATTTCGTACATCGGACAAAATGCGCTCACTCAACTCGTTCTTCGACCTTAGTGGTGGGTCGAACTTGTAGAATGATGTCTTCGTTTCACAGAGATCACCCCGACACAACGTCGCACGAATGTCACATCCATTTATGTACACTGCAGTAACCGCCACGGAAGAAACTTTGGATCCAGAATCGATTTGAAGAGTAGATTTTGCCATGCCAAACACCACCAATGGATAGTTGTTCGTCAACTCCTTCCCGAGCTTGTTGCTGTCGTTGGCGTCGATCATCCTCGATCGCAATCGCAGTTAGAAATTTGCTCGTATCAGGAAAATGTCAGCGTTGAGTGGTTACTACGGCTAAGTGCAGTTGTTCCTAACTGCTCTTGGCCATGGTTGCTACGCATTGCGGATCAATTGAAAGTATGTTCCATGGCCCAGAGGGCTCTGTGTCAAATAAATAAGTACTTGTACGGTTGTTCCAACCGTAACCGTTGAGTAGGATCGAAATTACATGTACTACGCACAAAATAAAAATTGAAATTACCGTTACATTAATTGAAGACATCGGGAACGTCAATTAGGTCTTTTGCGGTTATAGTCAGTGCAAGTGGAAGTCGAAATGCAGTCTTATTACTAAAATAAGGGTGTCTCATTCCCTTCACTTTTTGTTTCTTGTGCTGCGAGAAGGGAGCAGCACCAACAAAAAACCCCAACACGGCAGTTCGCAGTGCTCATTACTACAGCCCCAGTAGGAAGTAGTAATAGAGGTTTTCCAGTAGTAAGCACTAATAGTAATTCTCAAGTAGTAACCGATGAATTTACCTCTCCAGTAGTAGTTCTTGTGTGTGGAGGGGGGGAGGGGAAATGGAGATGGGAGAATAAAAAAAAATTGAATTATTGTCGAACGGCATGGAGATGGAGATGCTGGGGAGTCTGGTTTAAACTACTGGAACGGCATGGAGATGGAGATGCTGGGGAGTCTGCTTTAGAACTGAGTATGATGTAGCATATACTCCAGGCTTTGTTTGTCAAAGGATTGGTCTTGGTTGAATACTGGGGGCTGGGGTTGGTGTTGTTGCATTCTGGTGCGAATGTCGGAACCAACAAAAACTTGACTGGTGGAAAACTCTGCCGGTCTGTAAAATACTAGAATGGCTTGGAGATGCTGGGGAATCTTCTTTAAACTGAGTATAATGTAGCTGATACTCCAGGTTTTGTTCATCACTAGTAGGTCTTGGTTGCATACTGGGGGCTGGGGGTGGTGTTAGGGCTTGCCAACACAGATGCCGGAAACAAAAACAACAACGTTGTGACCGGAGAACGTTTCCGGTCCGTAAATTACTGGAACGGCATGGAGATGCTGGGGAATCTTCTTTAAAACTGAGTATAATGTAGCCGATACTCCAGGTTTTGTTCATCACTAGGTCTTGGTTGAATACTGGGGGCTGGGGGTGGTGTTTGGGCTTGCCAACACAGATGCCGGAAACAAAAACAACAACGTCGTGACCGGAGAACTCTTCTGGTCCATAAAATACTGGAACTGCATGGAGATGCTGGGGAATTTTCTTTAAAACTGAGTATGATGTAGCATACACTCCAGGCTTTGTTCTTCAAAGGATTGGTCTTGGTTGAATACTGGGGGCTGKGGATGTTGTTGCTGCTGTCCGGCACGGATGCCGGAAACAACTTCAACCCAGAAGATACCATACGGTGCTTCTGGAGGAACAGGGGATGGATCCAGCTGKGGCAAACCGCCACCAGCTGGGCGATATCGATAGTATACTTGGAATAGTCTTGGTTACATTGCTTGGTTGTCTCTTGAGTGGAGCCAGGGAGGTGGATTTTCCCCTTCCAAAGGGGACGTCACCATGGTGGGTTCAGATGCCAGAAGGTGCTGGTAAAGTAGGAACTACGTAGGAATCAGTAGGGATTCTAGGTGATAATTCTCAGAACCAAAGTGTAATTTTGCATGTTTGAAAACATTTGATATGAAAATTATATATCCCCTATGAATATTACACGACTCAGATGGTGAAGGCAGACCATTAAGACATCAGATGTCCACACTTGGCTTCCGGCCAATTGCCATTGATACTCTTGCTACATGTCTCACCAAATGGCTAGACACTGGCACAGTTTCTCCAGAGAAATATCCTACATCCCTTCATCCAGTTATCCATTTCCAGAGTGAGATCAGTTGGCACCACATGTTTGCTGGTCACATCTCACTCCAATGGTTTATTGATCTTGGCCTTCATTCCAGCTTTTACTCCCCAATGGTGTTGGGGGGCTACTTGGTGGAATTCTTTCTTTAAAAAAAACTTAATATTATATTTAACCTTGTGAACTAGAAGAGGCACTAGGAAGGCCAGAACCGTTGCGTTCGTGAGAAAGAATGCTTCTAGCTGCTCCGAGGGTCAGCGCATCCCTCTGAGGAGTTGTTATGGAGGCGCGACCAATTTGTATGTACTCTGATAGGCCGTTGAAGGCCCAGGACTGGACTCAAAGGACATGTTTAGGTGAAGTATTGGTTCATAGTAGTTTGTGTGGTACGGTTGAGTGTGGTAGAGATTGAAGAATTCGTTGATGACACAGGGGATTTGTGTCTTCGCTTCTTGGAGTATGCATCAAAGACCAGTCCGTCTTG